CTTAACACACTTGCTGCAGTTTTATAACAAAACGACAGAAATCATACACGAGAAGGATGGGCAGACTGCACATTCCTCGACTGTCAGAAGGCATTTGATACGGTCCCGCACGAAAGATTCCTACTCAAACTAAAAGAAACAGGCCGGTGTATCTGGAAGACTCACTCGGTGGGTCAGAGAGTATCTCCCGGAAGTAAACAAAGGATCACAGTGATGGCAGAACATCAGAGTGGAGAGAGAGAGGCTACGAGTGGAGTACCCAAGGGTCGGTTCTAGGGTAGGCTCCTTCATATCAACATTTGCAGATGATGCAAAACTGATGAGAACAGTTTTGCATCAGGACAAGAATAGATTGTAAGACATTGCAAATGGATTTGGACATACTCCAGAAGTGGTCTGAAAAATGGCTGGTAAAGTTTACCCAGCCAAATGCAAGCTTATGAGGATTGCAACAGGAGTGCGAAGTATAGAATGAAGGGAAGGGAAGTACAGCAGTATAGGATGAAGGGATGACAGATTCTTCAATAAGAAAAAGGAGAAAGAAGCCAGAAGCCCACATTACCAGAATAACAACAGCTGCATATGGCATACTGGCCCACACCCGGGTATCCTTCAGAAAATTGGACAAAGGGGCTTTCCAGGCACTATATACAGCGAAGGTGAGACCCATTTTTGAATATGAGTCCCCAGCGTGGAACACTTGCCTGAAAAAGTCCAGAGATATGCAACGAGACTCGTTCCTGACCTGAAGGGATTAAGCTATGAGGAAAGACTGAGAGAACTGAACCTTACCACACTGGACGAAAGGAGAGAGAGAGGGGGGGATCACACCATATAAAATTTCAACGGAAATTGACAAAGTAGACAAAACATCAGTATTCAAAGCCAGAAACAGCAGAAAGAGGGGTCATAGATAAAAACTCGAGACGCAAATCAGTCGGACAGACATCAAAAAGAACTTTTTTTCCGTGTTAGAGCTGTCAGTACATGGAATAGATTAGACGTAGAAGTCGATGAATTTTATTCGATTCATAGTTTTAAATATAAGTACAGTATGGTAAAAGCGTAAGAAATGTGTCATTTTATTAATCTAATAACGTTCGGAAGGCGGGGACCTGGAGCCAAGCTCGACCCTGCAAGGACATCGAAATGAGTATATCTAGGTGAATTACACACAAATGTTGCACCGACATTCAGGGAGAGAAACATGAGACTTGGAGACCAGACCACACAGTAGAAGGTGAAGGGACGACGACGTTTCGGTCCGTCCTGGACCGAAATCGATTGTGAGAATGGTGAGAATCACAATCAACTTGAGAATGGTCCAGGACGGACCGAAACGTCGTCGTCCCTTGGTCTGGTCAACATCAGCCATGTTATTGTGACTCCTCGTCTGCATGAGGCTTGGAGCCTACCGACTCTGGTTCGACACGGACGTCACGCAGGAAGCATTGTATCAAAGCAAAGCATCGTATTACATTTGAAGATTTGATTACATTTTTCCTACAGCTCTCAGCTCATTTTCACTCGATCTCTTAACTTTTTCTACGAATTTGTTTTTATATAACCTTAACTGCCTATTATACTGACGTCGTTCAATTTCCAGTTATTGGGCTTTTTAGGGTTGAGCCTATTAAAAAATAATATTTATCTCGATTTTGTTATCTTGTTACAAAATAGGTTTTGTGCTTGTGATTGTGATTGTAATTCTGACGAATGTTGTTATGTCGGGAAAACGATGGTGGTTTAAGAAGCGAAATATATGATTAATTCTTCACAGCTGACTTGAGAACTGATTGCTACAGTCAAATGTGAAAAGCATTTAGGAAATTGTGTCACCTTGGAACATTCCGCACGCAATCTCAACTTTTTGTCTTTGTTTAACGTTATGGATGAATAAAGTCTTCCTTAAAACCGATTAGTGAACCTTTGATTCGTATAAAAAAATTTGTTTTGTTTGGAATATTAAGTCTGTGTATGTATATATATATATATATATATATATATATATATATATATATATATATATATATATATATATATATATATATATATATATATATATATATATATATATATATATATATATATAGTTCCGTGATTTGGGTGTTCATGGTAGGTCGCTCTATTCTTATGTGAATTGCCTCAAGAATTTGTAATCTTCTTCGAAGATTACAAATTCTTGAGGCAATTCACATAAGAATAGAGCGACCTACCATGAACACCCAAATCACGGAACTATTTACTCTACCCACCATGAGAGTAAGGACAAGACAAGAATATATATATATATATATATATAGCTTAGCTTAAAATGGTCAAAGAGGATTAAGCGGTCAGAGAATAAGGATGAAAGATTAAAGAAAAGCCTCATGAACACACAATATATGAATATACAATTATAATGAGACATTGTAAGCCTCTCTATCAGAGTTGTTTCTTAAACTGTTGTGCAATATTATAACTTAAAAATGGATCAAGTTTGTACATTCCAGTACTAACATTAAGAAGATTTGGACACTGACTGATTAGAGCAGACTCAATCAAATTCCGTTATATATATATATATATATATATATATATATATATATATATATATATATATATATATATATATATATATATATATATATATAAAACTTGTTTCCTTGTTTACTGCTAGGGGGAACAGGTACATTAGGTGTAAGGAAACGTGTTAAAGCATTTATCTCTTGCCCGGGATTCCCGATTGTGAGGCGAGAACGAACACAACTCTGTGTGTGTGTGTGTGTGTGTGTGTGTGTGTGTGTGTGTGTGTGCTTTCGATTAACTTTGATGACTTTATTAGATGCATTCACAATGTCAATAGAAACTTGAATTCTCCACCAGTCACCCGCTTCGTCTAACACTCCCAAATGTAAACACAAGCTTCTGATTATAGGCAACAGGGTTTTTTTTTTAATTAGCAACAAACTAGTCTTAAAAACAACTTCTAACTAGTCGATAACTGGTCATAATTGATTTGGTCATGAGCCACTTCATGAAAACTAGCCATAAGCAACTAGAAATATGTTTTGTTTATAAACAGTTTATAAAGATGGTCATAATCAGTGAGTCAAAAGCAGTCATGGCAACTTTTTAAAAATTGGTTAGACCTAGGCTGCTAAAATGGCCACGAAGTATTGGTTAGAAGACATTGGTTAAAATTTGCTCCTCACCTCTCTCTAGCCTATTTATTGCCTGCATCTACTTCCTCTTCACAGACGGGAGACATCTCCCGTCACGCAGGGTGCAGTCGCACCTCCACAGATCTCCAGTATCATCTATTGATACTGGTAATGGCTCAAAAGGACCACCACTTTCAGGCTATTCATGCCCGTGCCACCTTTTGGGTGGCTTAATCTTCATCAATCAATCTTCCTCTTCACAATCGACTAGAGAATGGTCCAGGACGGACCGAAACGTCGTCGTCCCTTCACCCTCTAGTGTGTGGTCTGGTCAACTTACTTTAGCCACGTTATTGTGACTCATCGCCTGCACATTGGTTAAAAATTTGATTTGGCAGCTGATTAAAATCAGTCATGTATCTGGAAAAGTATTGTGGGGGGGGGGACGTATTAATAAAAAAAAAATAAATAAAATGTTTATTCAGGTAAGGTACATACATACAAGAGATTTTACATAATTTGATGGATTTATAGATGGAGCTAGTACATACAATGCCTAAAGCCACTATTACGCAAAGCGTTTCGGGCAGGAATTAGCAACTGAAAGTCACTGGTCACTCATCTTCGATCTCATTTTGTGGTTAAAGCCTCAAATTTGTAGCAATTTTTTTAAGGTTAAAGCCTGAAATAAGGTAAATGTTTACAAATGTTTGCTATCTCCCTCTCCTTCCCCCCACCCGCATCTTCAAATTACCACATTAAAAGTATACAATCTTAAGATTGTAAGTCTTACAATCTTAAGATTGTAAGACATTGCAGAACATCAGAACATTTACAATATATAAATGGGCGATTCACGGTCAATAATGGTATTTACATGTTTGCCTAGCTACTGGTAGTTAACTTTAAACAATTGATTTTTTTTCTTTGCTAAACGCTCAATTTACAAAAGAAAAAGAAAAATTTATCCTCGTTTCGTAGGGAAAGTTAATTACTTTTAAACACTACAGCGGCTCGACGTTTCAACACAAGCAGGATTGAGTTTATGGTGTGCAAGGCTGGCTGAATAGGCCTGAAGACGAAGGGTAGGCCTATTTACCTTACCTTTCTTCCGAATGCCTACTCCACCCGCCTAAATATGACTGATTTGAGGTTTAACAATACCTTTACTAATTGACATTGCCAATTTTTTTTATTAGAGTTCCCAAGTAACTTTTCATAATTGTGTTGTCGACCATTAATTAATGTCAACTGATCATCCATTAGTTGATTTCGGGAATATTTAACAACTGACTGAAAGTTGGGTGTAAATAATTATAACAATTGACCAAAACTTTGACAAACAACGAGTCAAAATGTCGGTCATAAATAACTGGTTTATAGGTCACAAGGAGCTTCAAGTTACCAATGTTTACTGATTATTTAGATGACGACTTTAACAGCTGTTAAATTTCACGATAGTCAAAGTAGTGGAGCCGGTCGGACTGGACTGGACTGGAGCACACTGGACTTGTGATCCTGTGGTCCCGGGTTCGAGAAACAATGGGCAGAGTTTCTTTCACCCTATGCTCCTGTTACCTAGCAGTAAAATAGGTACCTGGGTGTTAGTCAGCTGTCACGGGCTGCTACCTGGGGGTGGAGGAGGCCTGGTGGAGGACCGGGCCGCGGGGACACTAAAGCCCCGAAATCATCTCAAGATAACCTCGAGTACTCATAGACAACGGCCATCAATGACCTCGTGGGTATAGAATGGAAGAAAATGGTGTATTGTGATTAAAGTAGTTATTTTTCCCCCTCAGTGAATAATGTATTGTGGAATAGTGTTGCCTCATACCGGTTTTCTTTTGTCGGCAGATGAGAGAAATAAGATGGATGTGAGGCGGTATGAGCTCCGGTGGACGCACCATCAGTCCACTGTGGTGGCGGAGGTGGGCTCGCTCTACAGGGACGCCGCGCTGGTGGATGTCACCCTCGCCTGTGAGGACCAGCGGACCTACCAGGCCCACAAGCTCGTACTCTCAGCATGCTCACAATACTTCCAGGTAACTTCATCAAAAGTCACTTCTTTATGTTATTACTAACCGGCGGTGCCCGGGTCCACCCGAAAAAAGGTTGCATTTTTGCATGTCAGAATCTGATTTTTTTTTTTTTTTGTTATTGACATATTTAGGTACATCTGCATTTGTGCGGCTGGCCTAGGCTATATGAAGGGGAGTATAGTGTCCCAAGAATTAGCTACGTGATTAAAATCCCCTTCACACAGTATGGTTAGTAATACAGGGACATGTGATCAGTAGGCTGTACTGCCACATTTTGGGTGCCTTATGAGGCTATCCTCAAGAACACGAGGACTAATAATGTGATTGCAAAGCTCCAGGTTTTGTAGGTCTGAAAGGGTCCGAAGGGCCTAATAACTGGACATTCAGTGATGTAGTGTGCAAGATCATGACACAGTTCCTACTCACAGAGTTTGCAACTGGAGTGTTCAGGATTGGGAGATCTGTCACCTGTAGCCACCTGCCACAGGTAACGGTAACCTAACCTGATCCTGGCAACCACTGTGTCGCACAGTCTGGTGGACGTTTTGTGCTGTCCATAGATATAGGTTTCAGATCTGAACAAATCATAGCTTTTTATGCTAGTGCTTTCAGACCCTTTGGAGTAAATAATTTATCTTCTATCATACCTGAGTGTTTGGAACGATACAGTATTAAAAATAGAGATGGAGGATTCCTAGGTCTAATTCATCTTCTTCTTTGTTCTACACTAATTTGGCTAGCTTGTTCCACACTAATTCTGATAGCTAGTTGTAGTGCAGCTAGTTCCGCTTGTGTAGAGATCAGCCTCTTGTTTAACCTGACACTATGGTCTATGAGCAAGTATTATTTCTATAAAATCTACATACTGCTGCAGTCCGATTGACTGAGCCGTCGTTATTGACAAAGAGCTTGTGGGATCTTAAATATTTGATGGAATATGCAATTGTTTCAAGTGTGACAGCTTTGAGAAGAGCAAGATTCTCATTACCCTTCATGGTGATAAGTGTGTATGATGCTTGCACGGTAGGGTACAGATAAAGTGGAATATCAGTGATAGTTAGATTGCACTTAAAATGAATGTTCAGTTTGATGAGATTATAGGCATTTTTAATCAGCCTTTTATCATACAAGGAAAGAGTTGGTGTGTTGGCACCATTTAACAATTAGATATTAACGGCACTGAATAATTTGTCTCTGAGCAATGTAGGAGATGTAGAGTCTCTCGTGACGTTAAGGCAAAAGGTGGTGTTGACTTGCATGATTCTCTAGTATGGTTGGAAGCTTCAGTTCTCACATGTTGATGATTCTTGTGCATCTTGGGGCACCAAGAATCACCCTCATGGCTTCTTTCTGTTTTACTTCTAATTTATTCAAAACTGAGGTGGGGAAGTTAATTAGGTGCAAGCATGATAATCAACTAGTGATCTGACAAGCATTATGTAGCATTGTCGAGCATATTTCTAGAATGATTTCTACAATGGGGCCGACCTCGACCCAGATGATAATCCCCTACCCCACACCCACCAGTCACCCTACAGTTTAATGGGACTAGTCACAAGCGTCGGAAACCCTACGTTGGACGGACAAAGACATTCTATATGATAGATAGAATGACAGTGACGGGTGGGCCAAAACATTTTCAGTTAAATTAATTAGTTTATCGGGTCTGTTTTATTAAAATTCCCTTTAAACTTTGACCAGACAAGACTGGCCAAGGTGTAAAAAAAAGGTGTAAAAGTAGAAACGTGCCCAAGAGAATTTGCGATGATTCACAGACACTGGTAAACGTGTAAATAATGAAGAAAATACCGCCTGTCACGTAATGCCGTATTTCATCCTTCTTATCAAATAGTAATCGAATAATACAGTAATATAAATCCCGTAAGACCAAAAACTGATATACTAAAAATCACAGTTGCTAACAAAATTGTCGTGATGTCGCCAGGGAGCCGGTCGGCCGAGCGGACAGAACACTGGACTTGTGATCCTGTGGACCCGGGTTAGATCCCGGACGCCGGCGAGAAACAAATGGGCAGAGTTTCTTTCACCCTATGCCCCTGTTACCTAGCAGTAAAATAGGTACCTGGGTGTTAGTCAGCTGTCACGGGCTGCTTCCTGGGGGTGGAGGCCTGGTCGAGGACCGGGCTGCGGGGACACTAAAGCCCCGAAATCATCTCAAGATATGCGAGAGGACGGATTGCCTTGTTCCCACCAGCCACCCTGTTTAGCCACTTCTCTGGAAACCTAGGGTGCGAGACCATTAGAGACCGAACTTGACCCAACGACTTTGGTTGCGACCAAGCGATGGGACCGCGTGTTGCCGGTGTTTGCATGACCAGTTAGGGGTCATGTGGCCGCGGCCAGACAGTAACCTCTCGTAAACTTATGTCATAAGCCAAGGTCGTGGTCAAGCCAAGGCGTTGACTGCCGTTAACCCGAACATTTAGCAAAGAAATATAAAATAGTTTAAAGTGGATCACCAGTTGACAGATATAAATTGTATATTCATAACAGTAGGCCATATATTTCTCTTTGCTAACACATAAACAATTCATAACAAAACTTGATTTAATATATTTACTTTCTATAACGCAATTTATAAATGCCGTTCTTGACATGATCGTTCCGTAACCTCATATATTATATCAAATATGCTTCTTAACGGGAGGCAAACAGGAGCCCCGGGACACGCCGGGGTCAGCAGTTGATTGTAAGCAAATGCTGTATTTGCGGTTGTAACCACCCAACGTGACCAATGACCTTGTGGTCACAACGCTATATAAACTCCCCCCCCCCCAGCATCCCCCCTTACGGATGCGGGCTCACCATAGCCCGTGCTACATGGACACTTCGTTCTAAGTAGCTAAATCTAAAACAACAACATTCCCCCCCCCCCCTTGATTACGGGCTCACCATAGCCCGTGCTACATGGACAGAATCGACTTGAGAATGGTCCAGGACGGACCGAAACGTCGTCGTCCCTTCACCTTCTAGTGTGTGGTCTGGGCTACATGGACACTTCGTTCTGAGTAGCTAAATCTGAAACAACATTCCCCCTTGAGGTGCGAATTAACCACCAATGACCAACATGAGACCCACGTGGAGAGTATTACCGTAAAAGTGGTTGATATTGATGGCATGACAGCAATGTCATTGGTCACGTTTTGTGGTCAAAATGTCGAATACGCTGTTTTTGTTGTCGTTGTTGCAGTGTTGTTAATTGTAATTAGGCTATTTATTTAATCATTGATAAGGTATGATAATTCTCCTTCATTCTCTCTGCCCTCATCTTCGTTACATATACAGTATAATAATATTTTATTTATAAAAATACAGATAATTAAATGACATTGGTTACTTCAAGTTCAATATTTGTATATGTTATAAAGCCATTAATTGCCGCGAGGTCATTGGATACTTGTATTGTATATAAAATTGTATCAATCGTCTTTTCGTGTGTACTAAATGGTCAGTTTACACGAGCTTCAAAATATCTCCTCTGTCCCAAGTTCAGATATTAACCTTAAAGAAAAGAAATAAAAAAAAATATAAAAATATTAAATAACAAAAAAAAAATAAAAAATAAAAATCACTAATATTCCGAGCATTACAAAAATTGATCTATAACTAGGTTATCCACCAAGATATATATATACTGTATACTAAATAAGAAAATATTATTATGTGTTCATGGGCTAGCTAGTGTCAGCATAAATTCACAACGCACCCCTTGCAATGACCCTGCAATATTAGCCTCATTACCATACTCTTGAATGGACAAGGCAAATACAATTTTACTGGATTTAGTTAGTTTAGTTCATTTATTGTGCACCCCATACCCATCCCGTGGGCGGTAGTGGTTACAGAGGCACATAATTGGCTCAGGGACTGAACCCCACAATTCATTTAGCTAAGCAACTTACAATCTTGATGAGCTAGTTACAAAATTCAATATAAGTCGTCACATCAACAATGGGTTTGAGATCGACCTCAAGTACAGGTTCTAAATTAAGCAACTGACATATGTGGAGAGTTAGTGTCACAATTTATATGTTTGTCCTGCACACCGCCCCCCATCCAGTGGGCAGCGGTGGATAGGTACAATCACTTAGTTACTACCTACAGTTAGCAAACTGGGGATATTTGGCTAAAATTTCTGATAGCAGATCATTTTGAATGAAATATTTACACATCGCTGGAACATTGGTTGTAGAATTGTCTCTAAATTCACGTATATTTTCGCACTCTATCACATAGTGACGGAGGGTGTGCGAATAATTTTGTTGACACAGTTTACATTTGGTCAGCTCTACATCAGCAGATAATGAGAATTCCCAGAGATACTTGTAACCGAGTCTAAGCCGAGCAGTAGTAACATCTAGAAGTCTGCTGATTTTATTGGATGATCCATAGATGTGTGGCTCCTCTTGCATGATAGTATGATGATAGATGGAATTACAGGTGTCAATTTCACTTTGCCTCAGATCTACAAGATCTTGTTGAAGTTCTCGGTGTACTGCTGCTCTCAGATTGCTCATTGACAATCCAAGGTTACACTCAACGGCTCCTTTAAAGGCAGATTCTTTGGCTAACTTATCAGCTCTATCATGCATTCGGAGGCCAACATGAGATGGAGACCACATGAAATGGACTCTGTTACCATCCTTAATAATTTTGTTGTATTTGTGTCTAGCTTCGGACACGAGCATGTTACAGTTATGTCTTAAAGAGTTGAGAGCATTTAAGGATAATAATAACTTACAATTAATATATCAAGTTTGGAGACTTGTACACATTTCAGTGCAAGGAGCAAGGCAAATAGTTCGGTCTGAAGGGTAGAGGCCCAGTTGTTTATACGGACTCCCTACTCAAAGTACAAGCCATTGCCCATTGTCAGAACAACTGCACTTCCAGCTGCACCCGTGGTGCGGTGTAGGGAACCATCAGTGTATATGATTTGAGAGAGAGAATGCTCTGTGGACAGAGCATCAATATGGCTTAAGGCGTTGAGCTTTGCCTCAAGACGAAGCTTGGCCTGATCTCTAATTTGCTTCTTGGGTGGAAAGGGAGGGATTAAAACTGGAAAGGGTGTAACCTCCCACGGTGCAGGAAAGTGCCGTTGTTGTTTCTCTTGGTACAAATCATGAACCTGATACATTCTGAGTTGAGTTCCAGTTTTTGTTATCCATTTGGAACAATGCTGATCTTCAATAAAGAAATTCTGGAGGGCTTCTGTGCAAGGATTACGATGAGTTAGCCTTAGCATTTTTATACCAATTTGACAGTTAATTTCAGTAACACGATCAACAACGCTCGGATTTATCATTTAGCAGTGTGAACCTTTCCTGCCCCTCCCCAGGGCCTGTTCTCCCGGCACGCAGCCCACCAGCACCCCATCATCTTCCTGAAGGATGTGAGCGGCGACGAGTGCGAGGCCCTACTGACGTACATGTACCGAGGGGAGGTCTCCGTCAGCCATGACCAGATACATCGCATCCTGCGGGTGGCCAACTCTCTCCAGGTAGGCTTATTGCCACGCCCACCTCCTCCTCTTCTCCTCCTCGCCACGCCCACCTCCTCTCCTCGCCACGCCCACCTCCTCCTCTTCTCCTCGCCACGCCCACCTCCTCCTCTTCTCCTCCTCGCCACGCCCACCTCCTCTCCTCGCCACGCCCACCTCCTCCTCTCCTCGCCCACCTCCTCCTCCTCTCCTCGCCACGCCCACCTCACCTCCTCGCCACGCCCTCCTCCTCCTCCTCCCTTCGCCACACCCTCCACCTCCTCTCTTTGCCACACCCTCCTCCTCCTCCTCTCCTCGCCACACCATCCTCCTCCTCCTCTCCTCGCCACACCCTCCTCCTCCTCCTCTCCTCGCCACACCCTCCACCTCCTCCTCTCCTCGCCACACCCTCCACCTCCTCCTCTCTTTGCCACACCCTCCACCTCCTCCTCTCCTCGCCACACCCTCCACCTCCTCCTCTCTTTGCCACACCCTCCTCCTCTCCTCGCCACACCCTCCTCCTCTCCTAGCCACACACTCCTCCTCTCCTCGCTATGCCCTCCACCTCCTCTCTTTGCCACACCCTCCTCCTCCTCCTCTCTTCGCCACACCCTCCACCACCTCCTCTCCTCGCCACACCCTCCTCCTCCTCTCCTCGCCACGCCACGCCATCATTCATAGATAGTAATGCAAATACGGGATTTATACAGTACTACATTATTTATCTTAAATATACATTAAGAGATAAACTATTAGTTTGTTCGTTTCCTAAATGTTTGCCATATTTTAAATAAATACTGTATAAGTTTGTACAGTATCAAGGAACTCCTGCAAATCATCAGCTGAGATTGTTTAGGCCTATGCTACTAAAATTACAGTATATTGATAATTTTTCTTTCACATATACATATTTAATAAAGTCAACTTATTTTTAAGGACAAATTATATTTACATATACTGTACTCACCTCCTGTATTTCAAAATGTATATTTTTCCATAATACCATTTTAACTTTCTATCTTTTCTGCCTGTATTTTGTTATGAGATTGATGCCACTTTCATACCTTTATGACAGATGAAGGAAGTCATGATTCCTGTTCATAATAACACAGTTAATTTTTTTAAGCATATTAAGCGGTGGAAGAATGTATGTCTTGCTCACTTGCATCCATGTCAGTAGCGGTGTCTTGTCTTCCTATTATTTAATCCGAATATTCTTCATTGGTGGACGTTGTGCCGGTGTTTGCAGTATAATTTTAAATTTGACACACTTTCTTGACCTTATTGATGCACAAGTTAATGAGGAATCACCTAGAATGCATGACATACTTATGTTTGTGCTCTTTTTTTTTTATTTAACAGATTATATGGATAATATAAATATGTTTTATTTGATTATTATGGCATAATATCACTCTTTTTCTATAGTTTCACAAACACTGATGCCTCTATTCTGTTGGGGTTTAGTTTACTTACCCATAAGTTGCCTCAGTTTTTTTTAATACGGCATAGTTTGAATCTTACTTTCGATTCAGCAACTTCACATTTAGTGCAGACAAAAGCAGATTCTTTATGCTAACATTTGTTAACATTCAATATGTTTACACCAGTTCCTAAAATATTATATACTGTATTTTGCTGTATTTTATCATTCGGTGCCTGTATGCAGTACTGTGCTGTACTGTGAAAGTGATTTTCCACTTCTTCCACAATTACGAAGTAGCAAATTTTAGGAAAAATCAAGCTTTGAATATAATACAATGCTATTCTGCAATGGGTCCCCAGTAGCTCCTAAGTGAAACTTTGGTACTACCAAACATTAGTCCAACACACCAGACCCTCTGAGATCCATCTGTTGCCTACTGGAAGCCAGGATCAGAATCAGGCTCACTCTGCAAGGGTTTCCTCAAAACTAGGAAAATCCAACCACAAAATAAGCAACTGCGTGAAGTAAATTAGGCACCCCTGGGTAAACAAGGCAAACGATTATTGCCATTGACTAAATACCTTAACCGCGATGTACCCAACTGTTGCTAGATGGCTGCTTAATTTTATGGTTGCATCTGGGATTGCCGCCAGCCTGATCCTTTATTCTGGACCTGTTCATGCCATAAGGAAGAAGGGAAAAAAGCATGGACTGAGAACTACTAGAAACCTACCAGAAAAGGATGTTTCATTACATTCAACCCTTGATTTCTGGAAGGGACCCCCTCACTAGCTTACTTAATTAAGCTTACTCACAACTGTGCCTGAGTTGACCCATGGGGAAAAGATTAGCAGGAAAGAAAATTGTAGTGTAAAGAATGGAAGCCACAGATCAAATGCCAAGTGCACAGAAGTATGACAAGACTGGAAGACATCCAAAAATATTGAGAGGACATCAACTTGTCCAGAAGACAGCAAAGTTCTAGAGAAGCTCACTGCATCATGAAAAAAGCAAGATATTTTCTGCATGGTTGGAGTTACCATAGGCACACTGTTGACCAACAACAAGTCATGAACAGAGGAGTAGACAGCAGCACAGACTCTCAAAACACCTATGGGGAAATAAGCAAATTCAACTTAAAGTCCTGATAAATCTCTCAAAACACTTAGGCAGTCCAGGGTGGTGACTCTTAAGACCTGGGTGAAAACTAAAAAGGTCTACATGGGTGTAATGTAGGGCACGCAGGTAGACCAGCATGCACCTGGGTGACAGATGTGCTAGAACTCTACCTCATCTAGAAATCTGAGAAATATGGGCACCAGACCAGCCCAAAGTCAAGACTGAACTTACTGACCTTAGCCAAAGCAGATGAATAGACACACTTTCCACTACAAACCCACAAAACCCTCACCACCTTGGAGAGGAGATAATGGGTTAACAAACAAGAGGGAGAGTGACCAAGCAGAGTTCTGGAGAGAAACAAAAACATGAAGCCAGCAAATAAGAAGAGCCACAAAGAAGTTTGTGACTCCAACTGGAACTGCCCAAATAAGGCTACCAACACTGCATAAGAATGGAGTGGGTGCAAGCCCTGTGGTCCACCACCCCCCCACTCCAAAGGCAACCGGGGCTGCTGGATATGATAGCTCCAAATCCCATTACACATAGCAGGACAAGAGAAGCAAACATCGCACTGCTGTATCCAGAGGAAGGGCCCCCGAAAGACCCGAAAGCATGATCACAAACAACTGTGAGTTGCGTGGAAAGTGGTTTCCATTTACAAACAGCAGGTCAACTGATGGATAAATGAGTAATTAGCTAATGTTGACAAACAATGATCTATTGTATTTACCCATAACAATGATCTATGGTATGCTCCAGATAAGGTATTTACCTCATGATAAGGACCTTGGGATTTACCCTGGTAATGACTAGGACATTGACCCTGTGGTAATGACTAGAACATTGACCCTGTGGTAATGACTAGAACATTGTCCCTGTGGTAATGACTAGAACATTGACCCTGTGGTAATGACTAGAACATTGACCCTGTGGTAATGACTAGGGCATTTATCCAGTGGCAATGATTTAGGACAAGGGGTGGGGGAACTTGCGGCCTTTTACGACACTCAGTGTGGCCTTTGAAAGCAATTTAAATAAATAAAACTAGATCTGTGATCTGTAAGTTTGCTTGTGACATGTCATGTTGTATTCTAGTTGCTTTCCCAAATTCACCCCTATATTCATTTGCTATTACGGTACTGTATTATTATTATTATTATTATTATTATTATTATTTTATTGTTATTATTATTATTATTATTATTGTTATTATTATTGATCATCTTACACATAATAATAATTCATTTTGTCATGGGACAGGCAGCCACTGTACATAATTCACGTTGTATATACATGTTAGGCTTATTTTGAGGTTCTCCCTAAGGTCGAACTACTGACCCTCCCCCAGAATGCAACCACACAACAGTTGCCTAACTCCCAGGTAGTTACTTACTGCTAGGTGAACAGGGGCATAAGGTGATAGGAAATGTTCCCAATCAATTCTGTCCCATCTGGGATTCAAGCCCAGAATTCCTGATTGTGAGTCGAGAATGAACCCAACTTTACTACGGGGACCTTATATGTTACTTACTTATCATTTAGTTTTAAGTGTTTACCCCATTATACCTATTAATAATTTTCTCTGAATTATTGCAAGTTCTGCCCAAAACCCTTTGCATTGTTGTGACTATATTTCATGTGCATCTCCTGTACCTACAATTTACCTCTTCATATGGATGTTGTATGCATTTACAGTACAGTATTATGAATAAAATATTGTTATTATAATAATAATAATAATAATAATAATAATAACAATAATAATATTATTATACTATATTGTGTGGTCTTATGAAATCTTCGCTCAGTAAAATACAGTATGGTTTTCATATATGATGCAAGATTCCCCTCACCCCTGATCTATAATATTTACCCAGTGGCAATGATCATTTGCCTTGTTTACTTAGGATGCTTAATATCCTCCAAGCAGTCAATTGTTTTGTTTAGCCTATGCTTTATGGTGTAGTTTTTCCTAGTTTCGCCTTATAGTGAGCCAGATTTTGGTCACGACTTCCAGTAGGCGACAGATGGCTGTCAGAAGCCTAGTGCATTGGTCTAATGCTTGGTTGTGCTAGAACTAAGCTCAGGGAGCTACTGTACTGAGGGTCCCTCTCGGAAAAGGTGCTGACTTTCCATTTTTAATGTTGTCATTGATGTATCTGATAATTATTAAGACCGTCTGCAATATTTATAATAATTATAGATGAGACTTACACTTGCAGGAGCATGACAAAGCTGGAGGAGATTTATTTAAACTTTTTTTTTTTATAATTTAGTTTTCTTGTTCTATGATTAATATTTTGTGATTACTGTCTTCATTGGGACTGTGATATCATAAATATTTTATATTTTAGTTATGTGGTATTTGTCAGACTGATACCTCCTGTCTTCCCCCCCTCTCCCATCCCCACCCCATAGAACACACTCATAGTGTAAATTTAATGAGCCAGTAATTAGAATGTTAAAGAACCATATTCTTTTTTCTTTAGTTATTTTAATGGAGCTAATGTGATGTAACCAAAAAACAAAATTATGCTATTGTATATGTTGTATGTTGTACCAGTGTCGGTGATAGACAGCACAATAGCAGTGTCCGGGTTTACCCAGCCAAGATTGAGGCTGTTTGCACAGTTACAAATTCAGTTACTGGCTGAATTTAAGTTATTAAACAAGTAAAGCACCAACAGTGCTTGATCTGTTTAGTAACTAACATGCACCTTAACACGCACCTTGTCCACTGAGCCAGGACCATGACATACATGCGAGGAAGAATAATTCAATCAAATTTCCCACTAGTTAATAATTCAGAATGTTTGTTATTATTTGTAATTGATTTACAGTTTCTACAACGATGGGTGGCTGCATGTTTCTTCTGCTGCAACATAGGCCCCACATTTATTTTTCATTCATATATTTTGATCACACAGTGTTTGTCGTTTCTTTTGAGAAGCACTGTTCTCTGTGTAGCACAACCTCATTCATTGCCATCTGATTCAAATTATAAATTTTAATTTTGTTTAATAAATATTTATTTTGTAATTTTTGTACTGAAAATACTGTACCTTAAATTAGGTTACATATGCAAGTGTGGTTACAGACTGGGCCTGATTGTTTGAATAGAATAGGTTTTTTCAGACTAGACTAGATAATCAGGGAACTTAACTCAGGGAAGCACCAGGAAAATATTTAGTCTTTCATTACAAAATTAGTTGAAAAATCTTTACACTTTATCAGTGATGTTACTCTTCTGCAGCTTCTCTAGTCTCTGTGGACAATTATTGTCATCTTTCATTGACTTATTACATTTATTAATATTACATACTGCAGGTAGTATGTTAAAAGTCAGTTCAGTACTGTACTGTACTCAGATGTAAAAGAATTTGATCAATTACACTGGATGTCTCTTCAGTTCCAAATACTTTACTTGCTATTTCAGTAGTTATCAATATTTTCTCGGAAATATGTGAACAAGTTTCTTCACCTAAATTTCTTTTTATTCCTTATATTGTGTATCTTCAGATTTTCCTATCTACATAAAGTACTGTAGATTAGTAGATACACAGAAGGGCATTAAAATCAAGCTACCATGAAAATCAGATCAGTCAAAAAAAGTGCTTCGCAAGGGATTTGGCCTAGGTTCATATCCTGAGGCATATTACATCAGCTAGGAAAGGATTGACTAGGCGCCAATCCTTAACTGTACACTTCTGTTCACCTTGCAGTGATTGGGTACCTGGTTTTTAAATGACTGACAGGTCCTATTCTAGGGAAACGAGTGGGTAAGGCTTACCATGAGTTATGAGAAGGGAAATCTCTCAGCCTGCTAATAGGATTGAGCAGTCCTCTGTTCCTGTACCTACCTGTGCAAAAAAAAATACAAAAAAATGGTAAAACCAAGACAAAAGACTTGGTAGAACCCTTAAAAATGAGACCACCCAAGTTATAATAGATTATAATAAAGCAGCCAACACTGAATAAATACTTTACATCTGTGTTCACACTAGAAAGCTCCAATAAGAATAGCTAGAAAGATAAGAATAACATACTGCATTGGATAAAATGTAAGGCTTTAGATTAGGTACTGATGAAATTAATTAAAGTTTGCATTCCTAGATATGTCATATCTGGTTTCAGTGCTATATTAAGGTGCAGTACGTGTGAAGGTTATGCTGCTTACGGATGTTAATGATATAGGTTGTGCTGCATATAATTATAATTTATATGGGAGTGATTTACAAGTAAAATTGTATTACCTATTTTATTAGTTGACAATAAATTTTGTTTTGTTCAGGTTTGCAGCAGGTTGGTGGTTCAGTAATATATTTTATTTCAGGTTCGGGGGCTGGCTGACATGGAGCCATCATCCTCCCGGCCATCTTCCCCTACTGGGGATCGGGGAGGCCACTGTCCCTCATCCTCCCCCTCCCCCAGTACTGGCCCTCCCACCAAATGTGCCACCCCCATCAGTGAGCCCCATTCCCCAAACCCTCCACCTCTGGTCAACCCCGCATTGTCCAGTTTAGGAAGTTCCGGTCATCCTGTACTCTCCCATCCCACTGGAGCTGATCCTCATCAACCAAGGCATCCATCAGTGGCAGCAGCAGCTGCAGCAGCAGCAGCTGCTGTTGCAGTTAGACCCCCACCAGGCCCCCAACACCCCCACATGCCCCCAGAATATCATCCTTACCCTTTGTTACCCCACCGCCCATATGATCTCCCAGCATCAGGGTCTTCTCTCTTGGCTGTCAATGAGTCGGACGCGAGCAGAGATGAAATCACAAAATGCCAAACCAGTGCTTTGCCAAGATCACCTTACTCAACACAGCTGGTAAGAAATGAGTTCTTTCCTCTTATTTACTGGTTTGTTTTACAAAAAAGTTTTATGCGACACTAGGCTTTACATATTGTAACCTTCATTATATGTTTTGGCTTTCTTTATATTAATATTTACAGTACTGTGTATCTAAAATCTTTATTTTGAAGTAATGTATGAAGCTATTTAAAAATTAAAATAAACAGTGAATTTAGGAGTGAGAAAGAATATACAGTATATGTGACATAAAAATTTAGGTATGTTGGTGTAGTAAGCATTGCAAAATCATTGTGAAAAAGGAAAAAAATAGTTAATGATGTATCATATGGGATTAGTAAATGCACAGAAAACACACTGAAATAAAGAAAATATGCCAGTACAGTATAATAAAAAGCAAACAAAGTGATTATTAATACTGTATTAATATACTGTATATTGAAAATTGGTAGGAAAACATTGACTAGGTACTTTTGTGGAAATCACTATTTTGAAGTAAAATTAGGGAGTTGAGGAACAATCATGAGATGAGAAAATATTGATGCCATACGGTGGGAATCCCTGAATGCCTCAGGCAAAAGCATCCCTGAATGCCTCAGGCACAAGCATCCCTGAATGCCTCAGGCACAAGCATCCCTGAATGCCTCAGGCACAAGCATCCCTGAATGCCTCAGGCACAAGCATCCCTGAATGCCTCAGGCACAAGCATCCCTGAATGCCTCAGGCACAAGCATCCCTGAATGCCTCAGGCACAAGCATTCCTGAATGCCTCAGGCACAAGCATCCCTGAATGCCTCAGGCACAAGCATCCCTGAATGCCTCAGGCACATGCATACCTGAATGCCTCAGGCACATGCTTTCCTGAATGCCTCAGGCACATGCATCCCTGAATGCCTCAGGCACAAGCATCCTTGAATGCCTCGGGCACATGAATCCCTGAATGCCTCGGGCACATGAATCCCTGAATGCCTTTGGCACATGCTTCAATATTTGCTCACATTATTGTAATTTTATTGTGCTGACATGGGATACTATCAAAAATATATGATGTATATTTAAGGTACTGGTGGCTTAGTTTGAGGACTTTTAATTCTCTGGAATTGATATGAGACTAAATGAAACAATTAAGAAAGTTAAAAATAGTGGAGTAAGAGATGAACCATGAGATATGAATGAATGGTTTTAATTACAGGTTGATTACAAACAATCCCAATATAAGTGAATGGATCCTAGCAGGGCAACCACACTCCAGCAATATTATTAAATCAACATTGAATCAACTCTGAATTATTGCTACATCAACTTTGTTTGCCCCAAATATATGGCATTTTAGAAAACCTGTTAGGAAAATTGGTTTCATTTCCAATTGTTGTGGGCAGGAAGCCTGTTAGGTTTATCGAGGTACTCCTATGTCAACTGCTGATGATCTTTTCCTGGATACATCCCACAACAGTTGCCTAACTTCCAGGTAACTATTTACTGCTAGGTGAACAGGGCATCAGGTACGTAAATCCGGGCTCCTCGATTGTGAGCTAACAACATAGACTACTGCGCTACAGGACCCTATATTTCCATATCTAACATAGAAATGTTCAGAACTCGTTTAAATGTAAATTTATCTTTTGTGGTATTGAAAATTAGGGACTTCTCATGATAATGGTGTTTATGGCATTTGATAAATCATGATCAGAATAAGGTTTTGAGGGATCTCTTCAGAAAGCATCTTTCTGAAGAGATCATTTGGCTTCTCCCTAAAGTAAGATCCCATAGTACAGGGACATAAGCAATCAGGAAGGGCATTGGAAGCACATACTAGCAACTCCTGTACTTATCAACTGCCCACTGAAAGATTATAATAACTGCTAAGAAACACTGGAGAATAAATTAGTCCAGCTATGAATGACCAACAGAGGTCATTCATAAATTTACATACTAAAAAATCTTTCAAATCTTCGTCAGAATCATAAGTGAACACCAGAAACCTTCTGGTAGATTTTTGCAGCAATGCTAATACACTATCTCATTGACCAACATAAAACTCTTGGCATTGGGTTCCCAAATGAGCAAGTCATTGAGGTAGGCCAAGACTTGTATGTTTAGGTGACGAAGCTGGTAAAGCAACATTTTAATGAGCCTGGCAAAAATCCTTGAAGGCAGATTAGACCTGAAGGAAGGAGACCAAAAAAGTGTTAGCTAGAGTTACCAACACAGTCTCAGAAAGTCCTTGATCACTGATGTGAAGAGTCAATGGACTGCATGTTCCAACAGTAAAGTAAGGCAGAGAATGCAGGCATTGATCCCCAAGAAGTTGAGGATCATTTTAATTTCAGTGTAGCCCTTATTCACCGTAGAGAAGGGATAGGGCCATTCTCATGAAGAGAATGAGGCAAACCAACTCCTTCTCCAGAGTCTTCTGGATGTCACAACAGGAGGAATGAGGAAGATGGCTTCCCCTATGGCTGACAGACTTTATGGGTGAAGAAGGGCACAGTGTCTAGGCTAAGCCCTTGGATATCACCCTCCATGCCCAGCAATAATAAGCCCATGCCTGGGAAAATGCCAGAATACATCCCCCACTACACCATCACCTGGGCTTACCACAAAAAAATCACAAGCAGCCCCTACACAACTTCAGTTGAATTTGTGGCCCCCTTATACAGTACAGTATACTCAAAAAAATAGTTGAGAAATTGCAGGAGGAGTAACTGCACTCTTATCAAAGAACCTGAGAATCAGAATCTGTACCAATAAGTAGGGGTCCAAGAGGCTTAATCACAAGCTCCCACACTAGTCAAGCCAGACATCAACCTTATTCAATGGTTGCACCTCATTATTGGGAACCAGATGGGTTGAGAGAGGGGGGGGGGGGTGAAAAGCAAGTGGGAGATTGACCAAGCAGACTCCTGAAATGGACTGAGAATAAGACGTGTAGTAAATAAATCTGTAACCATATCCTACAGGACTTGTACTGAAACTTAGGCATAGCTTCCTGACCTTGCAGTTGGAACCGAATTATTGTTATGTGAAGTTTATAATTATCTTAGCTTGTGACGTCAATAAACTAGTTTATTATACAGTATTTTGTTTTGCTTGTACAGCAGACACTGGCTAATTCACTGTATTTGATTCTTGAACTAAATGTAAAAAAATTTCTGCCCCCCTAAGTATTGTCTTTTTTAGAACTTACAGTAAAATGATAAATACTTTAGATTTCTGCAATTGAAATTTCCCAAATTCAAAACCAGGGATATCTGGAATGGTTAGGGTTTACTGTTGCTTTGGAAATGTTGTGATATTCGACCACTTTTAAGAGCTTGTCTAGGTCAAGTAAAGCTGCTCAAGCCATTGTAAGTGGTATGTTGACAACAGGTACATGATCAAAGTCTACCAACTTTCTCTAAATTCTCACCTTCATTTTTTTATGGAGATTTGGGTTAACTATCCAAATACAGAAGTGGAGAAAGTTATGTGTAGTAAATATGAAATAAAGTTGGATTAAGTGTTAATTTAACAATGAAATGTAAGTAAGAGCTGTTAGGGGTGACTGGTTGTGTATCAAGTGGTGGCTATGAGGCCAACATTTCCTCTGTACAGTACTTGAAAGTTGCACTGTGTTTTGATACCACTGTGGCATCAATCCCAGAACTGTATACTGTATATATGGCAGTTCATAAACTACAGATACAATTAATTATACAGTGTCTGATATATAAAATATTAATGCAATAGTCGTATTATGTGACCTTGATTATAATTTAAATAATTGTTTACTGTTGTGATGTACAGCCCCTATTTTTCATATCAAATATTTTATTTCAGCGTGTAAAACAAGACTTGGGTGGAAATAGCTGGGAGGGCCCATTGGAGGTTGGTGGCGTATCACCACTCTCCCTGAGTGACCCTCCCCGACACCCTTACCTTCCTCCGGCCATCTTTAGTAGTTTCCTGCAACATGACCATACAGCAACTAGCTCTCAACCATATGGGGTATATATATAAATCTTGCCTAATAATAAGATGAATAAGGATGTTACCTCACTACTTACTTAGGTACTTTTCAGTACATTATTAGAATATCTGTTGTGCTTTCTTTAAGATTTAAGAATTTTTTTTGTTTCTTTGTTTTAAGAGTATATACTTTATATAGATAGATTATATCTATGTATATATTCATTATGTATATAATGTTAAATGACATAAATGGTTAAATCACTGATTTTAGGACAGAACTTTCCTTTGTTTCTTACGTTCTTCTTCACTTGAGATGGAAGTTAAAAACTAAACTCTTAAAATCTCATTTTCACAGTTTTATATGACTTAAGAGATGTGTTTCATGGATCCTGTCAATGTTTTTAATGGCTGAGGTGATATGTACACAAGTTAGATGATGAAGTTTAAGGCACCACAAGAGGAGGCATGGGCATGAGCAGCCCGTAGCACGTGTGTGTACGCTAGCTTTCTCTGTAACTTGTGTTCTACAAATTCAGACAAATATATTTAGAATATTTAAGAAAGAAGACAGTCAGGAAACCCTAAACTATTGACTAGTGTCACTGAACATTATCAAGAAAAGAATGGTGGAACACCTGGAGAGTAAAAAAGGGCAATATGGCTTAGGGAGAAAAGTCGTGCTTGATTAACTTGATAAATGTTCTATGACAAGGTCACCAAGGTATGGCAGCAGAGAGAAGGTAGAATAGATTAAAAAAATTTTTAGTCAAAAACCTGATCCTCGCAAAAGATAGGAGCGATCAGGCTGGAGAAATGTAGTGAGCAGGGGGCCCCAGTGTCTAGTCCTAAGCTCATTGCTGTAACTAAGTTACACAAATTATCTATCAGTGGGGATGCATTCATACATGAAGATATTCATAAATTGTGCACAGTTAATAAGAGTATAAGAACTGACAATATTGGAAGCTGGCAAACAAAAGGTGTTTAAAACCTAAACAAGGACACTTTTTAAGACAATTTACACAGCCTTCATCAAACCAAATTTGAACAGTATGCAGCACTGGCATGGAGTCTGTATTTGATGAAACAAAATATGAAACTTGAAAGAATAAGAGGTTTTCAGCCAGGTTAATGCCTAAATTAAGAGGTTTAAGCCATGAGGATAGGTTAAGGGAACTCAGTTTAGCCACTCTACTAGAGTAGAGAAGGACCAGAGGGATATGATTACTGCATACAAAATAGGGGAGAATAGACACAGTGAACATCATTCAGCCTGTTACACTACATTACAGTACTTAGCCATTCATGTGCTGTGCTAGCATGCCAATTGTCCACAAAGGGTTATGTTTAATCTTACATTTCATGCAGTCCATTTGCATGATTATTCTTAATTCTGTACATGCTATGAATTGTACACTAAAAAACATACAATTACTAACAGACAATACAGATATTGAATTTTTAAATATTTTTTTTACTTGAATACGTATATTACTTTTGAAAGAGACACTGAGCACTGCCATTTACCAGAGAATGATATCGTATACTCATTTACATTATTCATGCAAGCTAAATTGACTAGATGCTTCATGAATGTATAAAGGATAGATACGTGCAGAGAATAAATCACAGTAACATGGCTGAAAACAAATAAACCAACCCACACATGTGAAATGAAAGGAATGTGGCAGCTTTTCAATCTGTCCTGGACCTTTATACTGTAAAGTCAAAACTGAGAAATAGAGGGGATGAAACCATTATAAGGCAAGAGAGAAGATTGAGAGGAATTGAGGTGTAAGTGGATACAGTAAAGCATAGAAACCGAGCCAAAAATAGTTCCCTAATAGATGGAAGGAAAACTAAAAAGTATGCAAAGAAGGTAAGGGAAGTAAATGCAAAAACTTAATAAAGGAAAAGATAGAACAAAATTAGAGAGACAGACAGATAGGGACAGAAGAGATAGGAGAGCACAGAGGGGCAGAAAACTCAGATTACATTCGCTAAGAAGATTAGAGCATTTAACTGTGTACTGAGAAAGGCAAAAGTCAACAGCACTTGTTGCTGTTGCCAGGACTAAGGTTAATGTTAGGCTTGTTGTGTATGAGAGATATTTCAACAAGATGGCATCTGTTGAGTATAGACATAAATTATTTTGGAAAACCTAGCTATAGGACGATTGGAGTCCTCTAACTTGACAGAAAAGAGCATTTTTCATATCATTATGTTTGGCACTTCTTTTGTATTCTTAAAGTCTATCATTAAGAGTATGGCCAGTTTGAACAAAGTATTAAAGAGGACAAGAGGAACAGTAAATTGAGTAAAAAGCAACACCATTGGAACCAGGAGGAGCAAAGCCAGATTACTTACTATGAAATGTGTTGGTTTCTCACAAAGCAAGTTTTATATCAAGGACAAAGTGTATTATGATATTTTTTTTAATTCAGATATGATTGGAGGGCAATGCACAGGATTTCTAATACTGGAAGCAGGTTTAGAATGAAATAAAGTTCTATTAAGTTGAGCAATGGTGCAACTGATAAATTTTAGGGGGATAGCTAAGGCAAGAATAACGTGAAGACAAATTTCAGAATCAGGATACTGAGGGCCATAGATGTGTTAGAAGAGGGAGATGTGAACATTTTCCCTTATAGAAGGACGATGGTAGGAGTATATATGAATGTACATATCAATGTGCATAGCCTTGCAGTAGACAGAGAAAGAGATAAAGGTCCATGATAGACTGAAATGTAGTCACCTTCCTTTCATTTCACATGTGTGGGTTGTGTTGCTGTATTTATTTACAGGTACTGTACTGTACCTATTAAATACCTTCCAATATTCAAAAAATTTAACCCAGAAACATCTCGGTTATTTTTTTTACATGTGTAAAGTGGTACATTGTTATTATATTTATCCATACACATGCTGTCTTGGAGAGAGATCTTTTAATTAATCTCTATATGTTACAATTTCAAAATTATTTTCAAAATTGGCAAGTCACAAAACATTTTTGACTTGATTAATTTTTCCCTGTAGTGAAATTCAATAAAATAGATACTTTATCATTCTTCATAAATTTTGAAGAAGGTGCTCCAAGATGCCTGTTATTATAAACCTGCTTTGCAAGCAACATTAATAAAATTCTATAAGTTAATTGATGGACTGTTGTTCATATTGTGGACGCTTATGTTAGCACTTTACTGTATATTCATATGTGTAGTTGGTAGCATGTCAGGTCATGTTACAATAACAGTTTATTTATTATTGATTGAAAGAAGTTATCACAAACATTTTCTCATTGGCCCTGCAGAGGATGTTTCCAATAAGTGACCCTCTGCGTCGGCTGGATCGGCTGAGTACACCCGGTAGTGAGACACGCATCCACAAATGTCAGTATTGTTCTCGAAAGTTTAAGAGGAAGGACCATCTCAAGACTCATGTCAGGATTCATACCGGAGAAAGACCATACAAATGTAAAGTCTGTGGTCGGGGGTTTATCCAAAGCCAACAGGTAAGTGTGTACATTTGTTATCCTAATAATGTTTTAATAGCAAAATACTTATTCCTTGTTATATTTTCATTCGTTAGGTAGTACAGTACACTATGAAATCATATTCTACATTAACCATATAATTGTGTTTCTGGAAGGGAACCCTGTCATAACCTTGCTGGGATCTTACATGATTTAACATGCAGTTTAAGAGTCACAATAACGTGGCTGAAGTATGTTGACCAGACCACACACTAGAAAGTGAAGGGACGATGACGTTTCGACCCGTCCTGGACCATTTTATATATATATATATATATATATATATATATATATATATATATATATATATATATATATATATATATATATATGTATATATGTATATATATATATATATATATATATATATATATATATATATATATATATATATATATATATATATATATATATATATATATATATACACATACATATACATATACATATGCATACAGTATAAGAAATTGATATACATACACATATAAAAAAAAATATACGTACTAAAGAAATTGTTCACGACTTTTGTTAGGCCAAAGCTAGAATATGTAGCGGTTGTGTGGTGCCCATATCTTAAGAAGCACATCAACAAACTGGAAAAGGTGCAAAGACATGCTACTAAGTGGCTCCCAGAACTGAAGGGCAAGAGCTATGAGGAGAGGTTAGAGGCATTAAATATGCCAAAACTAGAAGACAGAAGAAAAAGAGATGATATGATCACTACGTACAAAATAGTAACAGGAATTGATTAAATCGATAGGGAAGATTTCCTGAGACCTGGAACTTCAAGAACAAGAGGTTCCAGGTTTAACTTGCTCCAACCGTCTACCACTCTGTTTGCGAAAGTGAATTTTCTTATATTTCTTCTGCATTTTTGTTTAATTAGTTTAAATCTATGACCTCTTGTTCTTAAAGTTCCAGGTCTCAGGAAATCTTCCCTGTTGATTTTATCAATTCTTGTTACTATTTTGTATGTAGTGATCATATCATCTCTTTTTCTTCTGTCTTCTAGTTTTGGCATATTTAATGCCTCTAACCTCTCCTCGTAGCTCTTGCCCTTCAGTTCTGGGAGCCACTTAGTAGCATGTCTTTGCACCTTTTCCAGTTTGTTGATGTCCTTCTTAAGATATGGGCACCACACAACTGCTGCATATTCAAGCTTTGGCCTAACAAATGTCGGGAACAATTTCTTTAGTATTTCGCCATCCATGTATTCAAAAGCGATTCTGAAGTTAGAAAGCGTGGCATAGGCTCGTCGCACAACGTTCTTATTATTTCGCCATCCATGTATTTAAAAGCAATTCTTAAGTTAGAAAGTGTGGCATAGGCTCCTCGCACAACATTATTATTTTGCCATCCATGTATTTAAAAGCAATTCTGAAGTTAGAAAGTGTGGCATAGGCTCCTCGCACAACATTCTTTATGTGGTCCTCAAGACCACTTAATTATATCCTTCAACTTCAATATTTTCGATCTCACTCCATCTATGTTGGTATATACTATTTTTAGGAACATGTTCCCCTTCCCTTTGTTCTTTACACCCCCTTCCTTTAATGATTTTGTTGCTTTGTCTTTATGTACCATTTCACAAGCTTTCCAGTCCCTGACACTTTGTAGAAAAAAGAATTCCTTTCTTCTTCATTTCTATCCCTATTTAGACATTTCGCTTCAATGAGGTTCATTTTCAGCTTTTCTCTGTCCTCCTTTGAAAGGTCTTGTCTTATTGACCAAAGTTTGCCATCTTTGTCACATTGCAATTTTCTGGCATTCCAAAGCACTTCTGTCATGTGCTTCACTCCATTAAACGTCACCCTTAAGGGGCAGTTCTTGTATTTCTCATATTTACCTATCCTCCTAAAATCACTGACATGCTCCTTTGAATTTAGGCCTTCTCCTAATCCTACTATTTTGTTATGATTTTCATCTCTTCTGGTGCTCTGTCTACCCTAGAGGAAATTTCCTTCTCTAAACATCCAAAGATTATTATGGACTTACTTCTATTTGCAGTGTTTTGTACCAGTTTACTGTTGGTAACCAGTTCTTTCCTAAGTGCTTGCCTAAGATCCGCTTCTTGTTTGTCATTTCTGGTTTTGACTTCCAAACACACTTCCTTAATCGTCTCTTTCTCTTTTACAACTTGTGTATATGTGTCTTTTATTTCTTCTTTAGACTTTTCTAGTTCTTTATTAGCCTCCTTTTTGTTATTAGTGTGTGTGTGTAAAAAAAAAAAATAGTTAGTAGTTAGTAACAGTTGATTGACAGTGAAGAGGCGGGCCGAAAGCGCAAAGCTCAACCCCACAAGCACAACTAGGTGAATACACTGGCTTCCAGTCCTTGATAAAGCAAATTCTAACAAATTTTACTTAACATTTTGTACTGATCCTCTTTTTGTATTTTTTATAGTTTTTGCATCATAATGACTTGTTTTTATATTGCAGGTAAAAATCCACATGAAAGTCCATGTGCGGGAAGATGCCTCAGGTGTAGGGGCTCCGTCTGCTTTGGGGCCTGGTGGAGGTGGAGGCAGTGGTCTTGCTTCCCTCTATCCAGATCTTGGGGGGCACTATAGTGACCAACAGGGGCTGGGTGCCCCCCATAATGATCCCCACACAGACTTGGATCAGTCCACAGAGAACAATCCACCTGATAATGACTCTGATAATGAGTGCAGCTCAGAGATTGCTGATGTGGAATATGAAGTGCGGCTACAACAGGAGAGTGGAAGCGGGGGTCCAGGTCGCACTCCCCCTACATCGAACCCCTCGTCTGTGGGTGTACGTGAGCACAAGACCCCGTCCCCACAGTCCCCCACTGGGGCTGTGTCAAGGAGCCACCCAACTCCCCCAGACGACCAGAGCTGCAGTGCCATGTCTCTGAAGGAATCATATCATATAGGTAGCAATATAAAAAAATGATGGCTAATGTGCTGTGATGATAGAGGCTTTAATTAAGTAACTGTTGGTTATACTAATTGTTTTGTTGCCAATATGCATTTCCAAACCATCAGAAAATTTCCGGCTTCAGTGTTAATTCCTTCAAAAGCATATCGATGGCAGGAATGATACAATAGCAACGGCTCAACTGGACAGACAGCTTACCATTTCAACCCCACGTTCAATATGAATTTACTGCAATAATACAATAGATGGAGTGTTTGCCTAACAGACTTCATATATCCCCTAGCCATTGTTATGTCAATGATCAAGTGAGAAGTACCAGTGTGTGATAAAACATGCATGACGGTCTGTGATCTGTTTGTAGGAGGATTTTTTTTCTACTTAAACTAGGTACTCAACCTGGACTCGTGCGTGCAATATGTAATTACACTGGAACTCTGGGAAGTATGGAGACTTTAAAGGGTAAACTCAACCCATCGGGTTGTTTACACTATTTGTTTCTTTTTTATATCTTTTTTTTTCTGTTTTTTCTTTCTGATGAATTGCTCCCAATTTCTTATAAGCCATAACTTATGTGTTGGACATGCTCATACAGTCAGCAAGTGCTTCTCACAGATAGTTTTATATTGAGAAGACCAAACTCCCCTAGATTAGAAAACATACTGCAAGATTATTTTATTAATCCAGATGTCTTCAAACTAGAAATAAGTTTTAGTTTCTGTTAGTCCGTAGTAAAGATTTATGTTATGCTTCCACGTCGTGTGTTGTGGTGTTCACTGGCATTTATGGTTCATCATTTTTGGCATTGTCAACTGTACTAAGCTGTAAATAATGCTGTATAGACTTACATTAATGTGAACACAAAAATATAAGTCATATGACTGAAAACAAGCTTTATTACAGATGATTTTGTCACATATCAAAGTTAATCCATACAGCTCCTGGCCATGCTTTCTTCCTCACAGCTTTGCAGTGGATAAATATCCAGTTTTACTAGGTATTCCTTTTTAGCAGTTGTTACTTCATTGCCCTTCCCCACACACACACACACAATTTACCTGTTATTTTACAAAGGGAGTTTGGTTTATCAGTGAGATCTCATCGTAGGGAGTAGAAAAGACTTGAACCCAGTGCCACCTTTTGTTGGTTCTTAAAAGTGATGATATAGTAATAGTTAATTTTAATAATTATTTGCCAAGTTAGAAGGATAAAAACTTCACCAAAGAAGGTGTATTTTAATGTTTGAACTTTCTTAAAGTAAGGTAGGTTCATCTGTTGTTTTTCATTCCCTTCTCCGCTACAAAGCAAAGTGAGGGGTGAGGCTTAGATTTTTTTTAACTTCTAAAATGAGTGATGCTTGATGGAGGGGGCTTGTTGCTTGTCTTTTTGATATGAGGGACAGGGTGGGTATGACTTCTTATCTTACATATTATGTGGTTTGCCTTTTGTATATGGGATATAGTGTCTGTTACTACCACTGAGCAAAGCTGAATACAATTTTGAAAAGTTTCAGACCAAATTACATATCATTGTGTATGGATACAAGTTACATATCATGTCTCATATCCAAATTAACATTGTAAACATATCATACAGTCCTGTATCATTTTTTATGGTTATTCGTAGTTGCCATTTAATTGTTGACAAATGATGCTTTTGGTATGTACAGATGAAACTTTAAGCTGGCCTTTTTAATAGTGATCCATTTAATTAGATTAAGAAATTTTCTTTTATTATATTATAGGAAGATAGTTCAAATCTTTTGTCACAAACAGTGTTTATATCTTTTGCAATACAAAGTAGGACTTTCTTACAGATTATAAAAATACAACCTGTTTTAGTTAATTCTAATGAAGAAAGAGAGAGTCCCACATAAGTACCTAAAATTTGTGCTGTGTTAACATATATGTATATATATATTGCTTTCATTTCTACTTGCAACAATGGCCACATCAGCAGCTGTGAACCTTGGGCCGTGCATTATGATATATTTGAGTGTTCAAACTTGAAAGAAATATCTTGATAATGCAGCGCCCTTTGTTCGGTATGTGTGTGTGTGCGTCATTATGTAACGGCATTATAGGAAGTGGTGCATGGATCCAGAATGTGTAGAGCCTCACCCCTTGAGCTGTGCCTGCCAACCGTCCCCCCAGTCACTGGATGCCGCTTCTTACATTACGTACCTATTGGTCACATTCCTGCCCATGGCTGTGTATCTTTGATATGCTGGTTATCACTGCCTCTCTTCTCAGTCACGAATGTTCATTCATTCCCACTCACAATTTCACAATTTTTTGCCTTTCTTTACTAGCATCTTTTCACTTTATTTTTCAGTTTCCTTCATCCTGTTCTTCACCATTCTTGTATCATCACTTATCTTTTTCTTTTAAAGACTGAAAATTTGATTAAAAGTTCCAATAATTTTTTTTGTACCATTTCATAATTTTTACCCTTCTTCATCCATGTTGTTTGTTTTACAGCCCATAAGATTTTCATTGGATTATCTCTTTCTTTTCCATCAGTTTTTTTTCTTAATATCTGAACCCTTCCTTATTGTTTTCTTTCTTTCTTTTTCCATCCCCATCTCATTCATTGTGAATTGGCTTGGTCTGATGTTAGTTGATCCAGTGATCATAGTAGCACTGTTGGCAGGCAGACTCTTGTTAATGTTGATATTGGTCCGGGCTGTGATTTAGTGTATGCAAGCGCAGGAGATGGTTAGCTAGGTAAAATGACGTGACAAAGTTTGTCTGGTGGGCAGAATGCTCGGAGGAGACAGAACTGCTTCACTCACCATGTATACGATTGGAACCCCCTCGGCAGGGACCACAGGGCTTCCTCACAGGGCTTCAGTAACAATGACGTTGTTGTCAGGTGAATATGTAGTACACTAATGAGGCATGTTCCCGAGTATACAAAAAGTTACTCTAATTCATACAATATTTCATTAAGAATTTTTGTTAATTATTGTTACTGTGAAAAATTAAAAAATAAGTTTAAGCCTGTTATAGAAGCTTTAAACATATCAATCCTCCTCAGTGTCATTATTATTTAAGTTAAATGGAAGTCCTGTGCAAAATCGAGGCTGACGGCACAAGCTGTGTAAAGTTTCACCTTTCTACCATTTGTGGTTTTACATAATGTTGATATTTGCATTGCTTATAGTGTGAGCACATGTTTGTGTTGGGGTATTGCCCTGTGCAGGGGTGAGGGCCGCCTGTGTTGTGGGTGCAGCGGCCAGCCAGACTCTGCCCCGGGGGTCCCAATATTCGCCTTCTGGCTACAGGGTCAGGGGTAGTTTTACCTGTATAAATATCAAGACATTGTTAGCTTATATGCTGTTAATGTTGACCTTGATGTAAGACCTATGTTATTTGTACCATTATCTGTGTAAATTATTGTTACGACAAGTAGGTGGCTGTACTAAGATGTGATATGCCACTGGCATAAGGGCAAACTTTGCTCACAACTGTAGCTTCCAGCTGCACAATAAGTATGAATTAGACTGCAAGATTAGATAATGCACAAAGCAGTGTTAAGACTGAAAGTTTGTTAGCCAAAGGTTAGGCATGCATGCCTATTTTTAGAGAGTGTTTATCTCTTTGTTACATGCTTATAATCACCAGAGTTAGTTAATGAGACTTATGAAATAAATTGTTATTTTGGGCACTGAGCTCATTCATACAAATAGAATGCAGACTTAATGCTATGATCTATTATGTATAGTTTGGCACTGCTTTGACAGTGTCTGATTTTATTAATCCAACTCTGCTCACATTTTCAAATTATTCGTAATTGATGTCTCATGGTTCATGAACCAAATGAGTTTTTGTATAGGAGATGAACAACGAAGGATGAGCTTATCGTGTAGCTGGCAGCTGTGCTCTTAGCTGTGGCGCTGAGACAGCTACAATGTGTTCAGTTCTGCTTTCAACGAGTTGGTATCCTAACCAGGCAGCACTGCCGGTTACTTCACGGCTGCCCACATGAGACGGCCCTGGCTGATGCAGTGCCCACACACTACATCCTTATATGAAGTAGAGCAATTTTTCCTAATACAACATTTTATACATAGACTTTTATGCACCAGCACATTCTCTATACCTTGAGCTTCCTTTTAGGTTAAGGTAACTTTGGTCATACTACTTTTCTGAAGGACAATTATTTTTTTCAAAAGCAGTTGCCAACCAAAAGATAATTGGAGAAACAAATTAAGTTAAAATGTTATCAATTTGGTAATGAAGTGGGGAAAATTATAAAAATTAATATGTAAAGGGAAAACTTGTCTTGAATGTAGTTATCATGAATATAAATGTCTTTTTATAGTGCTTTGTAGTCGGAAAGGAAAATTTTTGCCAGGGCAATCATGCGTGGGCAGCCAGGGCTCATTTTAATAGTGTTTCCTCAACATATCAGATATGATCCCTCCTTTTAAACTGCCATCATTTGTAGTTGTTACTCTATGATCCGTTTTCCTTGTAGATGATAGACAGGTAGGGTGAGACGGGCGGGCCGCTTGTCACCACATTGCCAGGCAGAGCTGGTGGTTTGGGAAATCAGGAACTTATTATACTTCTCCTATCCTGTAATTATGTGGGATGCCAATTAAAGAAAAAACAATGAAAATGATGCAGATACACTTAAAAGATGTGATGGACAGATCACAAACTCAAGAAAACTTCATTGGAATCAGAACAAAGTCAAACGGCCTATTCATCAAGATCATCATCTAGAAATCCCAAGTTGCCAGCGGTACTACCTTGCCGGGTAATGTGGCAGTGGTAAGCCAAGTCCTAGGCCAGAAGCAGCACTTGCTGCTGTATCCGCTGGTAGCTATGTTTGTGGCAGTGCAACTAACTGGAGGTGATGGGATTAGGCCTGTGATTATTGCTGAACAATTCACTTATTAGTATTTGTTCTAGTCATTTTCAAATTGGATTGATATTTATATAATAGATTTCATTCCAAACGAAATTTGTTATTGGGGATATTTTGTACTGTATGTGGTAAAACCATGTAAATTGACAAATCTTCCTCTTGGACATGTACTTGTGGCAAGGGGTCCCCTGATAGCACTGGCATACAGAAAAGTGATTCTCACCTGGTACATCAACACTGCAACCCACACGCATCTGTAATGTAATGGCCAAAGAAGGCTGCCTACATTAAATACCTGCAGTTAAAGACATATGGTGATATGACTTTTGATGGTTAATGGTTTGTATTTTCTAATTACTATGGTTAATCATAACAACATATTCTTTGACCATAGTTTATGTGCTGGACTGAAGTTAATCATGGTAACTGATATGTTCATAGGGTTGGGTGTTGTGTAGCAAAAAATATGTACATAATTTGAAGAGAAATGTTAATATTGTTTATAAATTGGTATTATTTGTTTTTATTTTGTTAGTGTTGAAGTCAACAATTGAAGACAATATATATTTGTACTAAGAGTTTAATGCTTTTAAAAATTGCCTGTTATGTTTTTGCTTATAAATTTCAAGCTCAAGCTTAATTTAACAATTAAGACATAACCTTCATAAAGGTTTTTTTGTTATAGAAATTTATTAGTCTTATACTACTAAGCAGGTGAAGTGGTACAACTATAAACAAATATTTCTGTTGAATAAGAAATTTTTATATAGAATCTTATTCATCTTGAAGAGTAAAGTATCGGTAATGTACTGAAGGGTGTAATATATGCTTTTAAAAATTTAATTAAAAAAATAGAGATAAATATATTATTCTTGAGAGAGAGTTTTGGTCTATATGGTAATATCTAATACCGAATAATTAAAAATACAGTTGGTGACAGAGTATATGCACGCGATTTAACTACTTTATTCTGTTATGCTCCCTCTCCAATTGTGATTTGAAATTAGCATATCAGCAAGTAGTTTGGATGCCTTGTTGAAACACTAGTTGTTGGTCATTTTTTTTTTTTTTTTTTTTTTTTTTTTTTTTTTTTTTTTTTAATTATAAAGGAATAATATTTGAGGCAATATTGTACAGGGTAGAATGCAGGGGACCCCAGTGTGCTTGACTTGCCTGTGATAGGATGTGGAAGGTGAAGGGCATCCCCTCTGTAGTAGTGCGAGCCAGCAGTGGGTATTAAGACGACGGTCTCTAAACGTGTTACCTACTGCTGGCACCACCTGCAGATGAAATCAAAACTTACAAGTTTATTGGGATGCTCTTGGAGAGTGTTCATGGCCCTGCTGGTAGTCTGATAACCAGTGGCAAATGGAGAATTAATTTTATTCACTTGTGATGTGTTTTTATGAAGATCTAGTTTTTAGTCAGTTGAGTGATTAAACGTACGGACCTTTTGAATGTCCCTTTTTCACCAAAGGCCCTTCATTATTCCTGCAGTGTTTGTACCTGGAAAGTATCAAGTATTGTGCATGTGTGTTTCTTTTGTTACCTGTTTGGAGGCCAGTGAAACTGGCTTTGGTACCTGCATGATATAAGAGTGTTGGGGGGGCATGCCCTTCACAAGTATACAGATCGCAAGACATTTGCTGTTGATACTGCATTGTGACAGGCGATGATGGTGACCATGATACAGAAATAATAGGCACATATCATATTATGTACAGTAGATCTTTTTAAATTGTTATTCATAACCTTTCATTACCAGGGACTCAAACAAATACAGAGACTCTGGTCTATATTCTGTGGTAATTTGACCCCAGCCAACTAATCTGTCCGTACGAGGTTGTCTTGGCAGCATTTGTGGACATTTTGTCCCTCAACTGATTGGTGCCTTTTTTCCAGATATGTATATTATTATTGATTAGTATACTATACTATATATTAGAGCACATGTGATTCCATATGATTAAGGTTTAATTTGCTTTAAAAGCATTGTGATAAGTGTGTTATAATGGAACTCGTGTGATATAACCAAATTATAAAATTAGAAGTGTTATAAGTCTTGTCATAAATAAAATTTAAGTCACACCATCAGAATTGAGGGTCATGTCCACAGAAGTAATTCTGATTTTAAGGTCCTGCTGAATGAGAACCTCGTGCGACCTGACAAGGTCTCGCTCGTGCCCTAACTGTATCTTGTGCCAAAGAGACCCGGGGCCCATGGCTCAACAGCTGCTGATAGCTGTCAGTGATGCACTCGCCCGGAGGGCACCTCGTTACCCTCACTCCCAAAGTATACTTAACTATGGAGAAATAGAACCGTCCTTTTGGCAATAACTACCCCACTGAAGGATGTGCTCCCAAGGTGGCTGGCCCGGGCAGGGGAGAAGGGAGGGGTGTGGTGATGCCCTCAGCCAGAGTAAAGGGTTCACCTTCACCCAGTCGGTGACAGTGGCACATGGGCAATGCATCCTGATACAGATGCTAGTCACAAAAATGGCCTTTCTTAAGTTTTATACAACAAATTAATTTATTCAAATTCAGCACTTATGTGAGGTGAGCATTTCTGTTATGGTCCAATGTCCCTTGTGCCACTGCATCCCCTTACTTGGCCGCTGGAGGAGGTGAAGCGCCAGGCCCAGGCGAGACCACTGTCACTCAACATTTCCTCTCTCGTAACAGTCTCATTTTTAGTACGAGATCAGTGCAATAATTACGACTAGACTACAATACCTTTGATTTACCATAATTATGAATTATTGGGCCTGGGGGTGGATGCCACCAGTTACATGTTATAGGCCTCTGCTTGCAACAGTTTACCCATAGTTGTTTTATTTCACTTTTATATTTGTAGTGTACCTGCTAGACAGCACATTTCTTGTACAGAGTTCCATGCATCCCCCATCCAGGCCCTTGGCCATAAAGTTCAATACCGCTTCCGTTGACTTCCACAGTACAGTAGCTCAGTGGCCCGATTAACCCCCTGTCACCCCCTGCCCCACCCATTGCTGCCTCTGGCAGTGAGCAGTCCTCACCTCATCCCTGCTGCTAAGTGGAGGACAGAGGAAGTAGTCTATTTTATCTACATCATATTTTTCCACTATGCAGCAGGAAACCACTGAAGTACCAGTCCCATTTGCAGGTGTGGTGCAGCAGGTGGTGGCAGGTGGCTACTGGTTCCATTCTGGGGTCGGGCTGCTACCAATCCACATGCCCATACACACCTGCAGTTGCTGTTATTGTTCTGGTTCCCAAGGCTTGGTTCACATCCTTACTCTGTTGGTTAGGTTCAGCCTATCATATCACGTTTGTAGTCCATTTATCTCAATAAACAACGAAAATGAGCTACTATGTATTTCTCTCCTGTTTTTTATATCTGATGTTGATTTATTTGTACTCAAAATATTCTAACTCTAGGATCTGTAATGGAGAGTTATGGTGGTTATTGAAGACCTTGCATTGAGTCTTCATTTTTGGTCACAAAACATGTTAAAAGGTTGATGTAAATTGAAAATAGCTCATTATTTCTGTAGAAACCTGCAATGGCAGAATAAAGGTTTATTTAGAAAAAGGTCAAGATGAACAGACAGTAGTCAGTAAAGGATTGCCTGGGAAGCAAGAATTGCCATGGCCAATTAACACCAGCTAACAGTGTATCCAAACATGACACGATACTGCACCTTGCACTGTTATGGACCAAAATAATATAACAAACTAGAAAAGGAATTAAATTTTCAATGCTCTCAAAACACAGGAGGAAATATAAAGAACCAATTGAATATGTGAACATTTATATGATTCCGAAAATAGGAAAATCAAAGGCAAAACTAATAATTTATGTAACCATTCATAAATTAGAAAGCAAAAAAATGTACTTAACCTCCGAGTTTGCATCATACAAAAGAAAAGGACCAGAGTTCATGCTGCAGCAAATGAATAATGAAAATAAAGAGATGGAGAAGACAAAATTCCCTTCCTGATGATAAAACAATATTCTCGAGCAGTTATGATGATTCGTTCTGATGAACAGTTCAAGTTCAAGTTCAATTGGGTTTATATGAGTACATAGCATGATGTGTTTACATTCTTGTAAAGCCACTAGTAGGCACAGCATTTTGGGCAGGTTAAAGAGATATTTATTTCTGGTGTGGTGATTATAGGTCCTATTACATCTGTCCAGGGAGAGTTTCAGAACAAGGTTTGCATTTAAGAACAGGGTTTTGTAAATATAGATGCACAAGAGAATGTGTGGAGTGAGTTTATGTTTAGCATGTTTACGGATTTAAACAGGGGGGCTGAGTGTTGTTTGAAAGCAGAGTTTTTTATTGTTCTGATAGCAGACTTATGGACTTGAGGTAGTTTGCAGTGGTTGAACCCCATGCACAGATACCATAAGTAAGATAGTGATAGATTAGTGATTAGTATAGTGAGAGGAGAGCAGAGTTAGGTACAGTACATAATATCTGAATTTAGAGAGTATACTAACCATTTTAGAGACTTTTTTAATTATGTGCTGTATGTGGGTGCTGAAGTTGAGTCTCTTGTATAGGCAAAGGAATTTTCCATCAATTTTATTGCTGATGTTAATATTGTCTATCTGAAGCTGAATTGCATTTGTTGATTTGCTTCCAAATAAGATGTAGTAGGTCTTTTCTAATTTTAGTGTGAGCTTGTTGGTAGACATCTATAAGTGGACTTTTTTTAATTCATTATTTACATTATTTAATATGTGTGGGTTGGAGTCTGAGTAGATGAGTGTAGTATCGTCAGCAAATAATATAGGTTTAAGAATGTTATAGACATTAGACAGATCATTGATGCATGTATGAAATACGAGAGGTCCTAGGATGCTGCCCTGTGGCACTCCTATGGTCACTGGTAGAATGGGAGAGGTTATATTATTGATGGCTACATATTGGTGCCTGTCACTAAAATAGGATCGGATATAGTTCAGGGCAAGGCCTCGGATTCCATAATGGTGAAGTTTAAGTAAGAGGTAGTTATAGTTAGCAGTATCAAAGGCGTTTGATACTGTTAACCAAAAGCAAATTTTTGTCAAGGGCTGAGTAGATTATATCAAGCAGACTAATAATTGCATCGTTGGTACTCTTTTGGGAGCGAAAGCCAAACTGACAGGGGCTGAGTATGTCAAATTTTGCAAGTTAGAAGTAGAGCTGTTTGTAAATAATTTTTTCAAATATTGTTGATAATATGGGGAGGTTTGATATTGGTCTGTAATTGTTTATGTCTGCTGTATTGCCTCCTTTATGAACTGGCGTTATTTGTGTTTTTTAAGGATATCAGGGAAGGTATGACACTAGAGATTTGTTGAACAGCTGAGTTATAGGTGGTGCAAGGACATGGGAGGCACTCTTGTATACCATGTCTGGTATTTCACTAATGTTCCCAACTTTGGTTTTTAATTTAAAGTTTTTTTCATATTCATGTTTCTTGTTGATTGCTTTGAATATGCCACTTGTGAGCCAGGGATTGTTTATTCTTTTGTCAGTTACTTGCTTGGTGAGGAGGGGACAATGAGTGTTGTAGAGGCTTAGAGTTTTGGAAAGGAAGAGGTTAGCTAATTAATTTATATCCTGTGTATTATTGAATTCAGATTCCCAGTTAATATTGTGGAGTGCATTTGTGAGGTTGCCTATTGCTGCTTCACTGTGTAGCCTGAAGGTAAGTTTCTTGTTTTCTGGTGGTGTTGTGTCCATGTTTGCTATGAGGAAGGTAGAATAGTGGTCAGTTGTTGTCAATGATTATACCAGATGTAAGGGGAGCTGTTATGTTAGTCCATAAGTGATCCAAGGTAGTAGCAGATGTTTGAGTGATTCGGGTGGGTTTGGTAATTGTGGAGATTAGCATGCAGGACCTGTAAAAGGAGACCCTCTTCCTATTTTTTGGGCCTTTAACCCAAAGGCCCAAAAGCTGCAGAAGAGGGCCCCTAGGGCAGAGCCAGTATCCTCGCCCACCATCCAGGACAGAAAAGCAAAATCAGAGGTCGAGTCTTCAAATGAATGAGGAGCTGGCATAGAGAACCCAGAAGCCTCGGTGGGATTAGATGGATCAAATGCCTCTGCACCCGAATCTGAAGGGGCATTCCCCGGAGATGACCAAGTCACATCCTAAGCTAAACCCTATTCCGACCCAGAAATCCTCAGGCACTGTACGGCTGGAAGTTCAAGTTCAAGTTTGTCCTGAAAGAGTTTTCATATATAGATCCAGTTTCTGCCGTTCTTCTGACATAAAAAGGCCTTTGGTTTAATAAGTTATTAAGATGTTTTCAACAATATTACTAGGGCGTTGACCGATTCCAACATGGGCGACCCTTTTGGAAACGCATGGAAACGCAACACTTGGGTTGACCTGATTGACAGACTGGTTATATTCCAACAGGGTCTGAGACATTTACACTGGCGGGCGGCGTTCTTGCAAACTATATGGCTGTTAAGTTGAAAATTGTAACTGTTAAGAGCATTCTATTGTGGTTTTAATATTGAACAATTATACATATACGAAACAGACAAATCTGGTGTCCGAAATAGTAAAAATATTAGTGTGCGATGTGATCAATGTAAGGGGGATATTGGGTGTGCCTCGTATCCCCTACAACAACAAGAAGTTCGAGAGCGATGAGGCCGCCACCTACTAGCTTCAGGATGTCGTCGAATCTAAATCAACAATATACTACCGCCGCTACTTTCTCGGAAACGTAAGTACCTGCCGCTTTACTTCTCTCACCCTGCCTAGCCTGGCCTGGCCTGACCTGGCCTAGCCAGACCTGACCTGGCCTAGCCTTACCTAGCCTAGTCTGACCTGGCCTAGTCTGACCTGACCTGGCCTAGCCTAGCCTTACCCAACACTAATCACCACACGTGACAGCCCAAACGAATCACAAATAAGTACACGTAACAAGTCATATACCCGGACACTCTTTCACTATGGGGACTGAGTGGTAACTATTGTATAGAAGAGCCGGCTCCCTGAGAGTGGTAAGAGGGCGTGATAAGAGGCTAACGTGTGGTCTTGAAGGAAGTCGATAAAGCAGACAATTTTCAAAAGGAAGGGCAGCATAACGAGCAGACAGGAATGGACAGAGAGTCGGTTATCCCATAATGTGTAATACGCCCCGCACAGCATGGGTGGAGTGGGGGGGGGGGTTGTAGCAGGGCACAGTATGGTGATGGTGCGGGTGAAGTACACACCCACTGAATTCCTGCCATCAATAATTGTTTTCATAACCATTAGAACAATGGCATCCCTCCAGCCACCATCCTTCCACTGACCCCCTCCTCTGGTCCTCCACCTCAGACAATAACCCCCCACACCCCCTCTCCCTTCCAGACATCAGCATGTCAAAATCAGTACCATAATGTGTTTAAACTATTTAAACTAAGTCATTGTGTATCTCAAGGTATCTTTTTTTTTTTTTTTTTTGAGATATATACAAGAGTTGTTACATTCTCGTACAGCCACTAGTACGCGTAGCGTTTCGGGCAAGTCCTTAATCCTATGGTCCCTGGAATACAATACAATACCATTTTATTTAGGTCAGGTACATACATACAATAAATTTTTACAAGGATTGGTTGACTTATAGGTAGAGCTAGTACATACAATGCCTAAAGCCACTATTACGCAAAGCGTTTTGGGCATGATAAACTTAAATGACAAGCTTAATACTAATTGAGCATAATGAGTAGAATGAAAACAAGAAATGAAAACATAGATGAAAAGGCAGCACAAATACAATTATGTCGACAAACAGCGCTCTTTAAAGAAAAAAACAGACATTGGTTGACAATAGAAGGGTAAGGTAGGTTACAGGGAATTTATTAGGTATAGCTTCGCTTTTAACTTAAACTGGTTGAGAGAGGTACAGTCTTTAACATGGTTGGGAAGGTCATTCCACATTCTGGGCCCCTTGATTTGTAGAGCATTTCTAGTTTGATTAAGTCGTACTCTAGGAATATCAAAACTGTATTTATTTCTGGTGTGATGCTCATGGGTTCTGATACAACCTTCTATGAAGCTTTTGAGATCAGGATTGGCATTATAGTTTAGCGTTTTATATATGTATAATACACATGAGAGAATGTGCAGTGACTTGATGTCTAACATATTCAGAGATTTAAGTAGGGGTACCGAGTGATGTCTGGGGCCAGAATTGGATATTGTCCTAATAGCAGCTTTGTGTTGAGTAATTAGAGGACGTAAGTGATTTTGGGTAGTAGAGCCCCAAGCACAAATACCATAGTTGAGATATGGATAGATAAGGGAGTAATAGAGAGTCACCAGGGCAGGGCGTGGTACATAATATCTGATCTTAGAAAGAATGCCC